TCTTAGAAAATAGTTACAATGCTTCTCCATTTCCTAGCAGACGTTGCTATGGAAATCAGGCGACTTCTTTAACAAGCTATCGTACTTCAGAAGTTACTGATAGGGTCAGTCTGATTATATCAATGATACCTGGAGTACCTCTATTTGCGTCTTTCTGATCTTATATTTATAGTTGTTATCGGCTGTACTACTTAACTTTATTTTAAGTTATGTTCCTTTAAAAGGTTCTTAGTATCTAATTATAAATCTTCTTAAAAAAGATTTTTAAACTTGGCCTTAAAACATTGTGGAGAGAGCTGTTTTAGCGAACAACATACCAAATACAACCCAGCGTTATATTTGAATTTGTCGCCCACAAGAGTTGCCGCCCGGGGCAAGCACCCCGGTTCCCCCCCCCGCTAGATGATCCGGGACTGGGCGCATAGAGAGCGGCTTTAGATATATAGTCCAGTGGATTTGTGCCTGTGCAATAGCAAGAGACCTAACAGCATCACTGAGGCTTTTTAATCGTTGTTGTCTGATGGATGCCTGTTGCGATGAAACTGATATCTAACCACTTTTCTTTCTTTAAAAAAGTAGTTCCTGGAATTTCTCGCTTCCTTTGGGTTCTGGATTTTCGTTCCTTTTTCCTAGACTTTTATGGGCACTTATGACAAATTCAGGGAATTCCTCGGTATCAGTGTCACTCTACAGAAAAAGTTGCGAAGATGTTCATTGATATTGAGAAAGCTTTTGATAAGGTTTGGTATTGTGGCCTCCTAACCAAACCGATTGCTTTAAATTTCCCACCGCAGTCATCATTCTCATCGCAAATTATTTTCACAGAAGAAGTTTTCAAGTCCGTATTCAGGATGAAATTCCTAGTAGCTGAAAAATTAATTCTGGTGTCCTACAGGGCAGCATCCTTGTGGTCTTAGTCCTCAGTATTTATCTTTATGACATGACGAAAAATGTAAATGTAATTCTTGCATGCTGTGCGGATGACACGGCGCTGTTATGCAAGTCTGTCAGTCCTAAACATGCAAACAAGAAATTATAACAGGTAATTAATTATCTTTAGCTTTCGTTCAACGCCTGGAAATTAAAAATAAATGCTGATAAATCTTCCATCATCTATTTCCGCAAATACTCTGTTCGTCAAACCATTGCAGATGAATAGGAACAGAAATGGCATATTAAGTTACAACAAAATTAAATACTTAGGAGTCTATTTAAATGAAAGACAAAGTTTCAAACCTCACATCAGTTATATATGTGATAAAGCTCACAAAGCTTTTATGAGCCTTTTAGCAATATTAGGAAGAAATTCAAGATAAAATTTCAATACTAAAACAATATTATACCTGCAGCCAATCTTGATTTATACAGCGCCAGCCTGCGCAGCTCCTACAAAAACAAATAGCAACATCTTGCAACATTTGCAAAATAAATGCTTGCGTATTATTCTGAATGCACCATGGTTTGTTCGAAACTTGGCAGTTCATAACGACCTGAATATTCTACCTATCGACACAGAAATTCTTAGTACCACGCACACCTTCTATCAAAATTGAGAGAAACATTCTTACGAAACTGTCAGGAAAATAGGTGATTCTGATTACCTTAACCACACAAGAAAGCCAGCCTATTCAGCACGATGTCAAATGGTAATCCTTGGGCTCTACTAATTTTATTTTAGTGCTGCTTTGAACAGCATCTGATAGCTAAGCGGGATAAGTCACTAATTACTTATGAGGTTGGGAGTTTGAAAACCAGAGGACCTCTGCGAACAATTATCTAGGACTTGTATATATTTTCATTTTTATTTTAGTCTATTCTATTCAAGATTACAGTGCATTAATATTTTTCCTGTGAGATTTCTCAGTTTTCAAGTTAAATTCACATTCATTGTGAGCTTCAAACTTAGTGGGACTTGTATATTGGGATATATAATTTTATTTTACTTCTCATATTTTATGTGTTTCTACTGGATTTTTAGCTTCATATGCTCAATGAAATGCTATTTTAATTGCTGATATTGCTATTCACGAAGATTTCTACTCGTGCTATCCACAAACATGATGACTGTACAAATTACGGCATCTCATCTGAGAATTTTGATTTAGGGCGATAAAGTGGAAGATATGTTGAGAATAGGTACTATGTTTATTGAACATATGTTTGAACCAATCACGCTACGACCTTTGAAAATAGCTAAAGTTTGCGAATTATCTTAAGCGTGATTGGCTAATGCAGGGCAAATTAGTAGCACTTCGAAATGTGTTTCGACAGAAACTAAAACTAGTGCGATCATGTGATTTTTGTGAGTAAAGGGGCATGTTGATATGTGGTAGTGGAAGTTGTATGGTTAGCAATCGTTAAGGTTAACTTTTTAATTGTGTCACTGAGTGAACTTAACAGAAAATGAAATATTACTTCACTTTTTAGAAACCTGAAATTGCGTAAATCTGTTTGTTTACAAATTTGTGTTGTATTTATTGTGATAAGAACAGCTGCTGTAATATACTTTAAAAAATATGTGTATTTGAAATTAATTCCTAGCTGTGTCAGGTATTCTTTTTCTGTTATTATTTGTGAATATATATTATGCTTATTTTTTTTATGAGTTTTCTAGTTTTATTTATTGGCAAAAAAGAGGCGTTTACGCACCCTGTTGGTTTTCCTGTTTATTCTCTGTGTTTTATAAAACTATTTGCTCATGTGATTATTAATGGAATATTTAAGAAATATTACGTGTCATCACGTGTATAGTAAAATTCTGTGGCATATTAATTCTGTGTGTTATTTATTTCACACTTTTACTTACTGTTATAGGAATTGCATAATTTTATGTCTTGTTTTCTATGCAGTTAAATATGCGATTAGTATTGCTGCCATGTGTTAGTTGTGATTTTATTTTCACTGACAATGAAAAAGTTTTATTCACAGTTATCGCTAATTATTCACTCGGTAGTATGTGCCTTTTTGAGTTATGAACTAAAATTTAGAGTAGTGAGAAACGTGAGTTTTAAGTATGTTTTAAATAAAGATTTAAAATATTGCAACATCTAAGGTAAAAAAAAAAAAAAAAATTCCCCGAATTTTACTTTTGTTGGTAGAATGATATAAATTTTGTTTTATCATACAATAAAGATGGATAAAAATTGCATATGAGAGTCACCACTATTGAATGAGAATAGTGCAAATGTTCTGTAGACCAAAATTTGTCTTTTGCATATTTTGTCGTTTATTAACACTGATCAGTTTTTTGGTTTCCAATGGCATTTATGCCTGCAAAAAAATCAAAATTTAAAAATTATTCCAGTAGTTAATAACTGCAGAAGTAGATTTGTGTAAGTTTATTGAATGTCCTGGTTGTTAACAAAAGCATTCTATTTCAAAGTCATGTTTTCAAGGCATCAGTTATTTGTGGTTAATCATTCTAAAGGAATCGGAAATGAGATAGATTCTTCATTCCTGGGTTTTAGTTGTAAAAGCTGTTTCAAGACATCAGTTATTTGTAGTTACTCATTCTCAAGGAATCGGAAATGAGATAGATTCTTCATTCCTGGGTTTTAGTTGTAAAAGCTGTTTTCTCCTGATATTTGGACTATATTGGAAACTACTTTATTCACGTGTTTATTTTTCTATTGAGAGAATGTTAATTTTCTTCTGCACTGTTGGTGATGTAGCTCCATTTAGTAATTTTTCACACACAGGCTTATGACATGTTTGTCATCTCCTCTCCAACAATGTTGTCAATCAATTCTTCTGGATAGGATTATGGATGTACTGACTTGTTTTCCTGAAGTATAGTTGCGAGTCAAGTATTGAGCGAAGATGAATAGGAGGTTTACGTTAATATTCATTAGTGACAGTCCTTGCGTTATGTGTGCATTGATTTCCAGTAGGCCATGTGAAGTTTGGATGCGATTATGTTGCACATACGTCTTAGATATTAAAGAGGGAGTATGAGAATATTCCAGAAAAGTTCCATAATCTTCCCTATCATATACTGTCTTAGAAATATTCCCAAAATTTAGGATGTAAACCAAAGGTAAATCTGTTATCTTCTTGATATATAATGATTTTTCCTCAGACTTTTATGAAGGAACTATTGTAACCCCCCCTTTTTTTTTCTTTGAAGGATTGCTAGGCTTCTAAAAATGTATGAAAGGTATTTTCTCTGTGTATAAGAATTTTCCTATGAATTTTAACACAAAATGCCTGGGGAATATTCCTTATATGTTCTTTAGCTATATCGTTCTTTAATGAAGTATCCAGGTACACACAATATGACATTGAAGGATTTTAATCATTGGGACTTACTTACCTCTGGACCATTTAACCAAATAAGAAGTCTATTTTAATTTATTTCAATGCGTAAAAGAAGCTGGTTGGTAGATTTGATTTGGTTTTAAAGTGGTCTATTGTATTTTAATGCATTTCATGTTTTGAGATTTTTACCAGTTTTATATTAAAGTTCATGTATCTCTTTGTCTCAGAAATAATCAGTATTCATAAGTATATTGTTTTCTAAGTCTGCTTTCGTTTAAATTGGGATGAAATATATTCAATTTATGTTTGGCACATTTTGGCCTTCAGGCTATGCTCAAGTAAATTTGTCACCATCTTCCTGTAGATCGGAATTCAAAAAATCATGAATTATTTTTCTGGAGGTTTGATTGGAATCTTACAAATCACTTTTAAATGTGTTTGTCGAATGATGTGGAATAAAAATCTGGTGCGAGACGCAGCAAAAATTTTTCTGTGCTGTTCGAGGTAAAAGCACTGCCTTGATGAATTATTTTATTGCCTTCACGAACATTATAAAATATGACGATTTTATAAATTTCTTATTTTTTATTGAAATTAATTTTGGAGGTAAAATGTGATTTTTCCCACTAATATTCTTGCTGACAGTAGTAAGACAATAGTTTGTTAGCCAAACAATTGGCAACTCTAGATTTAGGGCCATTTAAACATACAATTTAATTAGTCTTACGTAAATTTTTCTGAATCAGATATTCTGTACTGTAGAAATTGCAAAGATTGAAATCATAGTTGACTTTGTTAATCTTTCTGTTCTGATCAGAATTTTAATTTTAAAATTCTGATCTAGCTTTAAAAAATTTTATGTGCAGTTTTAAAGGTATATGTAGTGGGCAGAGTATGTTTTTATCCTTTGTCTGTTATTTCTCATCATGTCCTTTAACCATATAGTCTGTATCTGCGGGGATAATTTAATAAAAATTTTATTTCTTTATTAAATAACATTTATTTCTTATGTTGAATTTGAATGAAGCAAAGTATCTGAAGAAATATATGCAAAAGAAAGATGTGTTTTAAGAGGAATTCTTTGTAAATATTTGTTTCAGTATTGTATGTGTTCCCCCTCCCCCAGTTAAATTAAGCATTTAGTTTAATCTATTTTTATAGGTTGAAACATAAGTAATGACTGTTTTTTTTAATTTAAAAATTTTTATTTTAACAAAACAATAAATTGGTGATAATATCTGAGTTTTTGATAGATCCCGTAGATCCAAGATGTCGAACAATAGTCATTTAGCTACAACCCATTCATTTGGCTAATTCTTAAGTGGTTTGATGCGCGTCTTCATGCAGAAGTTAATTCAAGCATTCTTCATCAAACTCATTTGGTTATCCAGAACGAGCAGCGTTTTCGAGGTCGAAATTTCATTTAAAGTGCAAAATCGCTCACTTATGTGGTACGTATTGATGTGTACAAAGTCAAGGGGGTGTGCAGTGCTATGTTTGTGCAATTCTCTGATTTTTTTTTTAAGTGAAAATAGGTCAGTGTGTATATGGATGCTAAATTTGTGCAATTCTTTGACTTTTTATTTTCAAGTTGATGCAGAATCGCCCACTTATATGGCGTGCATCGATGTGTACATAGACAAAGGAAGTGTGCAATGCTGAGTTTGTTCAATTCTCTGATGTTTTTGAAAGTGAGAGTAGGTTAATGTGTACATGGATATGGAGTTTGTGTAATTCTTTGACTTGTTATTTTCAAGTTAGCGATTTTGAGAAACACACGAAGCTGTGGGTGATTCTGCACTTTCCCCGAAATTTCCATTTTTGAATTTGTCAAACCAATTTCTTGCAGTTTGTTCAGGCATTGAACCTTCTCCATACACTTCACAAATCTCTCAGGCAGCTTCTGTAGCATTGGACCTCGATTAAGTGCAAAAAGGTGTCGAAAATGCTTATTTTTGTCCACTTGACACTAAAATTTTAATAATCTGAAAAATAACAAGAATTAGCTCAGACAAAAAAATCAAATACGTCATCTTGTAGAGGGAAAGATTCTCTTTTGAATAATACAAAACATTATGCCAATACATTTTATTTTTAGTGCGTAATTTTAAGTGCAACATAAACTGCCATTACTTATGTTTCAACCCAATATTTGCTGCAGATGTGCCCATATAAGGAATTATAGGTATTTTTTTTTTTTTTTTTTTTTTTTTTTTCTGCCATGAAAGCTAAGTATTAGAGATATTTAAAATGAGAGATGGGATGATAATTATTTTGAGGGAGTAGCTGAAACATCTTAAAAATTATGTGAGAAAATTTAAGGTCTGTTAATTCTTACCTTTGAATCAGTAATTGGGTTTTTAGCCTCAGTAGTTAGTATTTTAAGTTTTATCTAGCTAGCGATATTCCTGTACACTGCGCAAAAGAAAAAAAAAAGGGGAGACAGTTCTACTGGGCCGATTGACAAAATTCAAATTGCGTTTTTCATGTCTTGAAAGTGCGACTTGGGATATATATTAGATTTATATATCACTTTGTTCTAACATAGGTATTTTAACACAAAATCGGACTTTTTCTGAAATAGTGTACCAATTGTTTTTCCATATTTCAATTCTACGACTCAAATTATGCCTAAATATTAAATTTGGTAAAACTTGGTGTGAAATTAATGGAGAAATTAAAAAATTTATCTTGGCACAATTTTTTCAGTTATCGCCAAAATTAATTTACTTGGTGAACTTCTTAATATGTGGCAACCAATTTTCCTTTTCCTTCCATTATGCCGGAGCAGAAATAAGGCACGTCGGTGCTACCTTTTTGCATTGTAAATGAGTGGAAAAAGTCTCATCGTTTCCACTTCCAAATAATTTTAGCAAAGTGTCTAAACCACATTTGATGTTTTATCACTTTCAACAAATATGCCAAATTTCAGAACACACCAATATATAAATTCGCGTATATCTTTGGAAATTTTGAATAAAAAAACTGTCATTTTTGCAGGTATGCTTAGAAATACGTCTACTTAAGATGATGGTAAAAATTTTATAGATTATAATTCAAAAATATTTTGAAAAATTTATAAAAATTACCTGAAAATACAAATTTTAAAAGTAAATTATAAAAAAAATGGGTGAATTTTATTTAGAATGAACCTAAATTTCTAAATGTGAAAGGAAGAATGAAATAAGTTTAACAACAAAAAAAAAAAAAAAAAAAAAGAGCGTAATAAATATGTACCAAACTCAGTTAACATTGAGGATCTTTTTAAAAACTACCTGTGCAATTTTAACAAA